AACACTGTTGCTTATTTTGTTCTTCTCCACCCTGCAGGGTTCTGGCTGTGAGGACTGGTGCACAGTACTTTTCTGTTACCCCTGTGCCTGGTGCCAGATGCATCGTGAGCAGAAGATCAGGGAGACCCAGCCCGCCAGCGCAACTGTGGTCACCACACAAGTCATTCGTGGATATGGTACAACAAGTTTGGCTGTTGGCTAAGGGCTTATGTCACTGCTGAAGCCATTTTTTTTTTTTACTTTTGCTGACTTATTAATGTGCTGAATGGTATATGAGGAAAGGTTTGTGTCTGGCCATAAAAATACTTCTATTTTACACAGTATTGTGGCTGTTATTGTAATAGTTTTCTTCTACAGAGCTGAGTTTAACCAGTGTTCAAATAAAAACTATTCAAATTCACTACTGTGATATGACAGTGATAAGGACATCGTAAGTAAGACCTTCCATACTTCTCTTCATATACTCATGTTATAGTAAATGTACTGTACAGTGGGTGATGGTCATTACCCATTGCTTGTTTTGATGCACTTCCCAATCACACAACACTTTAGAGTATTGGAGGAAACTGCTTTATGCTTATTCTTTGACAGTATTTATATCTATCTTTGTGTTCCTACCATCATCAGTATAAACAAGGTGACTTCCATCCACAAACTCATGATTTAGTTAGTAGTTAGTTTCAGCACTTCACTGTAACGTGCTTCCTTCTACTTTCTTTTTCTCATGATTGGTCCTGAATATAAAGTAATGAGGGGTGGGTCAAGACATCTGCACAGTACTGTATCTGTTTTATTTGAAAGTTGAAATTATTAAACTGATTAAATGATTCAAAGTGCTTGAAGTGCTTTTACTTCCGGTTTCTTTAAACCAGCTTTCTGAGTGGATGCCAATCGCAAACAGAATGTGAAGCTTTAAATATTTTCTACATTTGGCAAAATAATTATTAAATAAAATTGAAATGTATTAAGTAAGAGAATTAAACAGTTTGTTTGTAGGGCTATCATTTAGTGTCTGACAGGACTTTAACTGTTAACGGTGAGAAGATTTGGTCACAGTCACGATTCAGTGATTAAATCATGAATGGAGCCTTTCTCTATGACAAATCTACCTTCACATCATTTGCTTGTATGTCAGCTATATCACATAAAAAGTACAAAGTCAAATTACTGAGAAAGTGGAACATAAGAAATGTTTTACTTCTTTTAGAAATGTGAAACTATAGGATCTGGCAGAGAATGAACCGTCCACGTTTCTCTCTAGTACTGTCGTATGCAAAACTAGTGTGGCACCAGGGGTGGTAAGAGATTATTTTAGGGTGGTCCATGCCACCCGTGCAGATCCGCCCCTGTCTGCATCACACATGTTGGTTAGCAAGAGGAAATTTCTCTTTTATGAAACGAAATCACGGAAGGCTAATGACTGATCTTAGAGAAGTAAAAGCAGACCAGCGTGCGCCTGACTCTGGTCTCCCCTCGGTTTACCATTAAAGACCAGAGGTTTACCGAAAATGTGCATGCGCAAACCTCTAGGAACTAGTTACTGGCCACTCAGCTTGCCGTTAACAGGACACAGACGCCTTTAAACACAAGGTGGCAGTATTGTACAGCATGAACGCAAACAGGTGAGGAGCCTCATGACAGTGCGGTCTTTAAAGGAATTTTGCCTACTTTAAGAAACCATTAAAATGCATATAAGCTTTTCACCAAAATGCACGTGTAATTGTATTTAATAAGGCCTGTACTGTAAACTGTATATATGTTTCAGTGAGGTCATTTCACTAAAAGTTCTCAGTGAAGAAACAGCACTTTGTCACCCTTATGAGTAGGGGAGACCGGGGATAGTTGTAACATTTTTGACATTTCTGTCTGTAAATTGGAGCTCTTTTAAGGTAGTGGATTCAAAATGTAATGCAAAGTATTTACATGTCTCAGCTATTAAATAGTGCAGCTATTTTCTCTGCAGCACAATTACCCATTGCATGGTATGG